ACACGGCCTGGAGATCCACATGGCCGGGAGCCCCACATGGCCTGGAGCCCCACACGGCCAGGAGGCCCACATGGTCTGGAGCTCCACATGGCCTGGAGCTCCACGCGGCCAGGAGCGTGGCGGTCACCGTGGCAGGGCCGCGCTGGCGGTGGCTCCGGTGCACAGAGAGTTCCCCCCTGCTAAATCACTCCAGGCTGCCAAGCAGTCACGAGAAATATAAGCCCGCGCCGGGTTGCCATGGAGCAGGGCTCAGCTGCGGGAGCCTGAAGCCGATTCCTCCGGCAAACGTGTCTGCAGCCGAGGCCCTGCCAGCACCTCGCGTCCCTGGCTCCGTGGTGGCGGCCAAGCGGTGCCACACGCGTGGTCCCGGCGGAGCCACGTCTCCGGGGACAGCACTTCCCTGCCCTGACACTGCTGCAGAGCCACACAGGGACAGTGCCCCTTGCCCTGGTGACAGCATCTCCCCAGGGCCATGGGCATGCAGAAGTGGTGGCTCCGGTGGTGGCATTTGGCAGTAGCAGCACAGGCTGGCCCTGCACAATGTTTCTGCCCCAGCACGGGGATGTCCCCAAGCCTCCATGGTGCTGGCACGTGCTGGCCAGGGGGAATCGTGTCCTTCATGGGATCATAGAATTGTTTGGGTTGGAAGAGACTTTAAAGCTCATCTATTCCACCCCCTGCCATGGGCAGGGACGCCTTCCAGCCTGGCCTTGGACGCTTCCAGGGATCCAGGGGCAGCCACAGCTTCTCTGGGCACCTGTGCCAAGGTCTCCCCACCTTCAAAGGGAAGATTTTTTTCCTAGTGTCTCCTGTAACCCTACTCAGTGTCAGTTTGGATCCATTCTCCTTGTCCCGCTACTACAGCACTGCAGCTCTCACATCCTGCCACAGCCCCCAGCCCCACCAAAGGGGATCACAGAGCCTGGTGGGCTCCTGCCCTTGGCACCACATCAAATCATCTGCCAGGAGCCAGCCTGTGGCATCTCCATCCCCAGCCCTGCACCAGAAACATGAGACCCATTTCCCAAAACCAGGAGTTTGGGGTTGGAAGGGGCATTCCCAGAGCATTTTTAATTAGCCAACCAACCGTGCCAAAGAGCTCGTGTAAGTGGAGTTCCTCCCTACAAAAAGGCTTTTGACATTGGAAAGGTTAATGTGAGAGAGATCCCTCTCCCTCACAAAGCTCCCTTTGCTGGAGGCCCTTGTTGAGCCCTTAATTATTCACCTGTTGGAGAGGTGCCTTTCCATTACAACATGAGACAGGGCAGGGATGTGCAGGCAGGCAGGTGGGGGAAAACCCTCGGTGTAGGGCACCCCTGAGGTGGGGAACACAGGTCAGAATCCCAGGGGGAAGGCAGGCAGGTGTGGGGGCAGGCTCTGAGGGGCAGGTTCCAGCCCAGCCCTCCTCTCCCTCCGGCTGCTCTCTCTCTCCTGGCTCAGCTCAGACTCTGCTGTGCTCGCCAGCCTTCACAGCCTGATGTTGGGGACAGCCAGGGGACAACCAGCACCCCCATCTCCAGCACACAGCCACCAAGACACAGCCACCCTGCTTCCCAGAAAACTTCAGCCTCCTCCAGCCCTGCCACTGCAGCAGCCCTTCGACCCACGCTGCAGCAATGCAGCTGAGGATGCATTTTGCACAGGCCCTCGGGCTGCTCATCGTCCAAACCCACCCCAAATCTTCGAGAGAAAAGCCACAGAACACAGGATATCGGTCAGTTCAGTGAGGACTATCAGAAATCAGAGATGCATCCCCACTTCAGCACTAGAAATGCCAACCCAGCGCAGGCTCGCTGTGCCTCCTGCACTCATCGATGGATTAAGCTGTTAGCAGGAGGCTGGGAAGTTAAAGAGGGAATATTGTATTTCAGTTCATGTGATCTTTAAACATCCCTCTGAGAAGCAGCCTGGGTTCTTTTTATTATTATTTTTCCCCCCTCCTGCTGCACTTTGTTTGGGGTTTTTAAACGAATTGAAGCCGTTACAGCCACAGTGCTCCAGCCTCTCGCAGGGATGCTGAGAGCTGCTCCGTGGTGCTCTCGGCAGAGCTGCCTGGCTGGCACTTCCCAGCGCCTGGTGCCAGCAGATGAACCAGCTACAACCAGCCTCATACCTCTGAGCAGCAGAGTTGCACAAAATGGATTAAGCAGGCCCAGAAATGACACATTTTGAGGCGCAGCAGAACAAAATCACTTTTTTTTTTTGTTGGAAAAAAAAAAAGAAAAAAGAAGAAAAAAAAAGGAAAAAGGAGTTGGCAGGAGAAAGGCAGATATCAAGTGAAAAACCCTGATTTTCTTTCTGTAGCAATGCAGGTACCACGTGAATCATCGCTGTCCTCGATATGTAAATAGAGGTTAGCTGGCACCCTCAGCACAAGCCCTTGTGAATAAGGGACTGATGCAGATACCCCTGTGCATCTCCCCGAGAGCCATGCTCAGGATTCCTCCCCTGGAGGGGAAAGGATCACCTGGCACCTGCACCAACTGCGCCTTTCTCACAACCTACAGCAAAAGCAGGACGGGGAGAAGCAGGGGCGAGCGAGCACGAGAGTCCCAGTTCCTCAAAATTTCCACGAAGGAAACGGCCACTATTCATCATCCCGTGGCCTCCTGACAGCGCAGCCTCTCAGGATAACCTGCTCCGTGCTGGGGCACTGGGGTCCCAGGGGCAGCAGCTTGGGGGCTCCCCGGAGGAGGCAGTAACCCAGTTGTAAGCAGAGGCTCGTACAGTAGTAATGGGGAGAGACGTCAGCGCCAGCCCGGCCCGCCTCCCGCTCCCAGTTAGAAGCAGCATGTGACAGAGCCAGGGCTGGAGCCTTCCCCCAGTTTCATCAGAGGTTAAGGTACAAGCACAACACATGCTTACAACTTCAGGCGGTTCTTAGCAAACGCATGCAAATCATAGCTGGGGGGGGCTGTTTTTTCTTCCTTTTTCCGTCTTCTCTTTTCTTCCCATGGCAGCCCTGAGCCCCTCAGCGCACGTGGGGACAGAAGAGGAAACGGAATTATCGCAAGCAGGCGCCGGACGGGAGAGCACAGAGGGGCTGCACGGGAGCTGCAGCGAGCTGCAACGCTGCCCCTGCTGCTCCTCTCCTCCCACACCTGCAGATTTCAGAGCAGCGCTACCTGTGCTGCTCCCTCCAGCAGAGAGCACGCCGGGGGCCGAGAGAGAAAACAGGGGACACAGCCAACAGCGTTTCATCAACATTGTCTCCTTTCAGCACAGGCCATTACACAGTTCCAAATTTTCCAGGGAACATTCACAACATGGTGGGCTTGCACCAGAGAGGGATGACAATTCGTAGAATTTTTTTTTTCCCCTCTCTTAGCAGTCGCTTTTTGCAATAAGATTCTTAAATTGGCACATCAAAGGCTGACCAAAAAGCAAAGAAAAAGAGAAACAAGGCTCCAGGCACATGCTGCAACCATAAGGGCTTTTCATGTCGTGGTTAACACACTGAGAACAGGAGGGTTATTATAGGGAAGTGGAGCCAGGAACTTTCATCTGCTCAGGGAGCAGTGGGGCTGGTGGGAGCTGCAGCCTTTGTGCCATTCTTCCAGGGGATGGCATCCCGCACACGCAGCCCGCTCGGGGGACAGCGTCCCACACAGCCAGCCTCCTCTCCTGCGAGCCGATGGGCTCCCTCAGCAATAACAAAATGGAAAAATCCCACAAAGTGCTTACAAAAATCTCGGCCCACTTCTCACCTTTCCTGACCCTCCTGCTGTAATCAACCTGTCAGCAGCTCTCGGTTAAGAAGCCAGGCTGCCTCCCCCTGCTCTGCCCCCAGACGCCGCCCGGTCCCGTGCCAAGCCGGAGCGCTCTGGCGCTGGTGCAGGCGGGCAGAGGTGCCGGGACTACATCAATCTGGCTGGTGGCAAGCCCTGCCTGGTTCTGGCTGGCACACGCACCGCGGGCAAATCTGATTTACCAGGTCTCGAGCCCGTGTTTGTTTTGAACCCAAACGGCGGCAGGATTAGCCCAGGTCCTGTCCCCCACAAACACACACGCTCCTGGCTGTTTGCAATCGCGGGGCTGAGCTGGTGAGAGAGCAAGGGTTGGGATGAATGCGCTCGCTTCACAATCAGAGCTATTTTGTAATCCGTGGTTATGAAAGTGAAGGGTCGGGGGGGATGATAAATAACTACAGAAAACTCTTCCCACTTGCAGCAGCCTCATCGAGACGACTGCGAAATGCGCGGCCGTGCTCGGGCTCAGCCCCGGCTCCGGCTCCTGCCCCGTTTATTGTATAGCGCCTCTCTTGCAGCCCCCAAAATGGAAAAGCATGCGAGCCCTATAGCCAGCACGGCTCGCTCTCGTGATCCCGCCGGAGCTGCCAAGGAGCCTTAATCTGATTTTAATACCCGGCTCCTCCAAAACACAGCCCATCCACATTTTGGAGCCGGCGACTCGCAGCACCGAGACCCCTGTCGCTGTCGCATCCCCCCTCCCCAAACCTCCATCCCCCAAGATCCCAGCCCGTATGCGTGGAATTGACGCTCGGCATGACTCATCCCACAGCCCGGCTCTATCAGCCCCCACCGCGCAGCCCCCTGCGGAGCCCCCCCCACCACCGCGCCGCCCCCTCCCCACCTTCGGGGGAGCCCTAACAACCGGGGGGTGCTTCTGCACCGAAACCCATCGAGCCATCAACTTGTCCCCTGTCCCCCCAGACTGCCGGCCGATGGGGGGGCGCGGGAGTCCACGTGCGAGTGGTGCTGAAAGCGCCGCCGGGGCTGCGGGGCTGCGGCCGCCCGGGAGCCCCGGGAGGGGCGCGCACAGCCCCGCGGGCGGCCGGCTCCGCAGCCGCGGAGAGAACGGGACCGCCGCACACCCCGGGCACCCGGCGCAACGAGCCGGGCCCCGCAGCCCCGCTCCGGCAGCGCCGGCTCTTCTCTTCCCCGGGGTGCCCCGGCAAGCAGCGGGGGGGTCCGTCCGTTCCCCGCTCCGATGCAGCGCTCCGGGGAGCCGCGCAGCAGAGCCCCCCCCGCGCCGCCTACCTGGCTGTCCGCTAGGTAACTGAAGACGAAGGAGGAGAGATCCTCGTCGAGCAGAGAGCTGCAATCCGGCCCCGGCTCCGCCATCTTCCACCTCCGGCTGGGGCTGAGCACCGAGCATGCAGCAGGCGCGGCGGCGGGAGCCGGGCGGCCGGCGGGGCGGGGAGCGCGGAGCGCCGGGGCGGAGCCGCCCGCAGCCCCCGCCCGCAGCCCCCGCCCGCAGCCCCCGCTCGCAGCCCCCGCCCGCAGCGGCTGCGGAGCCGGACACGGGGGGATCGCTGCGAGGAAGCGCCCCGGGGGCTTTGCAGACACGCGTGGGACACCACTTTTGTGTGTCCCTTGGAAGTGCCACCCCGTCAAACAGGGGGTGCCACCGGCCCCTGGGGCGCTCCGAGTTTGGATGTGTAAGCGTTGGGTGCAGCGGGTCAGACCAGGGGGCACATCCAGGCTCTCTCTGGGGCTTTTAAAGTAGTTCCTGCAGGAGCGCCTTCCCCAGGGACACCACACGCAGAAGGAACCCACTTTGAGCAGTGCCACTGTGCACACCTTAAAATTGTCAGCGTTTAGATGTGGGAGCACCCAACAGCGCCAGGCACCTCTCCACAGTCCCCAGATCACCCCATTGGGAGTGATGTTTGGAGATACAAAATCCCCGAGAGCCGCGGCTGGGCCAGGAGTCACTTCCAGGCTCGGTGGGTCTGCATGAAGTGGGACCAGGGGATTGCAGTAAAGAGTAGAAAAGAGCAAAAGATTTTCTGATTTTCTTTGTTTTCATTTCAGCTGCGGCTGTGAGCATCTTGATGTCACGCACGTCATCTTTCTGTCTGGGGTTTTGAGGCGTATCCTAAAAGCCCTTTCAGAAATAATTAATGATGGGACCAAAAATCTCATGAATGTTCTATTTACTTACCCGTAGCAATTACATGGGAAAGAGCAGGGCTTGGCACTGCAGCCTGAATTAGCTGATACACAACCAACCAAGTGGCAACACCTGCAGCCTAATGGCTCCAAATCCTTGATTCCCCTCAGAGTGCCTAGACAGGCCTGCAGGGTCACCATAAAGAGCTGATGGAGCAAAGTGATGTGGAGCTATTGGGGTGGGGAGCTCTGTGCCAGGCTCTGAGGGGTGAACAGAAAGTGCTTCTTCCTCTGGCAGGAAAGGCCTGCTCGTGTTCTCCTTGCTGTTGTTTCAAAGGCAGAACTGTTTCCAGGCACTTTTTAAATTCCCTCTGGCCTCCCTTTGGCTCAGCACACGTTGTGAACACCAGGCAATGGAGCAACACTGGGTTTTCCCTGATGATCCCAAGCCTTGCGCCAAAGGGAGATGTCAGGAGCAGCATCTGTTGTGTCACACTGATGAGAGCTGCAGGCCAGAGTGGCCTGGCTGCTGGGATGGGACAAAGCAACTCTTCCTCGTTGCTGTGCACTCTAGTACTAATTGCTGAGTGCCAAAACACTTACCCAAGGTGCTTTTCCGGCTGCCCTGCCAGCTCTGAAACTTCTCTTCCCATGGGTGGGAGGCCTGGGCACAGAATGCCCTGCCAGGATTCCCAGTCACAGTGGGAAGAGCACACTCAGCAGGGCCAAGGAAGGAAATTGCCTTGCTCTGGGGCATGTGCAATTCCTCGAAGACTGAGACTCAAATTGCCAGCTGAGCCCACTGAGCAGTGATCTGGGGTGCATTCCTTTCCTTGTAGAAGGTACAAGTGATGAAGGCTATGGTGTGATGAAAATGAGCAGAGAACAGAAGGGAGGTTTGCTCCATCAGGGCTGGAAGGCCTCAGCACACCGGTCCTTTGGGAGGAATTTGTTGCACAAAAGGCGAGGTTTGCACTTGAGTATCTAGTGATTTCCTTTGCACCATCTGCACTCAAGTAGGAAGTAACATTCCTGGGAATTACTCGTCAATTGTCATTCAAAAATCAAGTTGTGCATAGCTGGGTTTTTCAGAAATGCCTTTTCCCTTTTGGTCCTTTTACAAGAACATTTCCCTTTCTTTCTGGTGGAGGAGATGAGCCCTTCCCAGCCTCCATCCTGCAGGACACCCCTCTGGCAGCAGCCACCCCCAGGCGTGGAGGAGCATGAGGAAAGCAAAGCTCAGGCCGCACTGCCCCATTTCCCCTCTGAACAGACAGGTGAGGGCTTCTTCCAGCCCTGCAGCAAAACTGGATGTGACATTGGGCTCAGACCCCCTTGTGCTGGGACGAGGATAGAGGACAGCAGAGCACAATGGGGCATCTTGGCCAAGTGGACTTTCTGCTGCTTCTGGGTTTCTGCGGGATCCTGCAGGATGAAGTACAGCTGCTGACGTGGCTGCAAGTTGTTGTTAACCTGCCCACCTTCTGCTCCTGACTGCTCTGGACTTTTGCACAGTCCAAGCATTTTTCCATGCCTTTTGGTTCTTTTCACCTATGAAATGGAGATCACACCACTTCCCTGTGCCCTGCAGCTTCTGGAGGAACTGGTTGAATAACACACATAAAAAGGGCTTCGGAAGCACCAGGAGAGAGGAGAAGGAGGACAGGATGTTATAAGTGCTGTTGTCTCCACCTTCTTAGAAGTCAGTCATGTGGCAGCCTCAGCACCACCTGCGGTGGGTAGGGATGGTGGTGGTGTGAATGGGACATCACATTGCCCGTGTCACACACCCTGCCCTGTGCACAGGACCTGGCCAGCTCTGCCGTGTGCTCACAGCTTCCCTCCTCAACCAGACCCCGAGCTTCGAGAGCAGGGCAGCTGCCAGAGCTCCAGCTCCTGCTGCTCTCTGTATCTATGGGCTCCAGGAGGTGTCAGCCCCTCTCGGGCAGAGTTAAACCCCCTGTGCCCACCCTGGCCCGGCAGCCCTGGCTGTGCTGGAGTGCCCCGTGGCACCGCGCTGCCTCTGCAGCAGCAACTCGATGCTCAGCCCGGAGGGGCTGGGGATAACATTACCGAGGTAAAATATAACAGGAAATCTTGCAAATGTCCTTTCAAAACAACAGCGAGCGAGTAATGTCATTGGGCCGGCGGTCAGGAGGGGACAGGGTTTGAAGGTACCCCGAGCCTGCCAAAGGCCAGGCGGGGGACAGCGGCCGGAGCCAATGAGCGCCGGCTGGGCAGGAGCCACCCCGGCCCCGCGACCGCCCGCCCTCGCTCTCACGTTGCAGCTGCCTCTGTTTGTGGATGGCAGAATGTTGTAAGGAGCGGGCAGTGAGAGGCAGCGGCACATGGGGCTGCTCCGAGGAGTTACAACACCCGCAGCCCCCGCTGGTGACGCTGTCTGCTTGGCACTCCCGTGCCACGGGGGACTGGAGCGGTGGCCGCTCTGGCTGGGGACGGGGGAAGGCTCTGTGGGCTGGCAGCAGCTCCGTGAGCCGCTGCTGGGTGAGCTGGGGGCAGCTGAAGGGGAAGGTGTCCCCAGGCTGCCCAGAGCCCTGCCCTGCAGCGCTCTCCATCCACGCAGGCTGCTCAGGCATGCACAGTGCTTGGCAGTGCCATGCCCAGGGTTTCGCTGACTTTCTCTGCCTGGCTCCTTTCCACGAGCTCTGCTTTCCCTTCCCCACAGCCCTGCTCAGCCTTATCCTTCACCTGAGATCACGAGCACAGGGACAGAGTGTTGCTTTCCCTCCCTGCTTTCTGTGCCTCATTAGCCGTGTGCACCTGGGAGCTCCTGTCTCCCCCTCCTCCTCCTCAGCTGGTGACAGGAGGGCTCTGTTATGCTTCGTGGCCGGCAAGGAATGAAAGTCTGATGTCCTCTCTGCCGCAGGGCTGAGGGACTGGCCCCTGGGGCTGGAGGGGACCTAGGAAACAAAAGTGGATTTTGAGGGCAAGGTGGGCTCCTGGCTCTGAGATCCAGCTTGTCCAGGGGGCAGGGCTCTTTTCCCAGAGCAGGGGCTGCTGCAGCTCTGTCAGAGGAGCCCGTGGCCAGCACTGAGGGCTGAGGGATGCACCCTTGCAGGGGATGCTGTAAGGGCTGCAGCCTGCCCCACCCTGAGCCTGCCCTGCTCCCTAACTGCAGCCTGGAGCGTGCTGGGGAGGCAAATCCACACAGTTATTGCAGAGAAAACCTGTCAGGAGACAAATGTGATGGCAAAAGAACAAGAAGGGGGTTTTGTGGCTGCATTGTTGGAACAGATGGGAATTTCCTGGAGCAAGAGGCAGCGGAGGGTAGGGATGGCTGCTGCACGATGGCTCACGCTGCCCACCAGCTGTGTGGGCCGAGCAGGGGACCAGGATGGCCATTGACTCCTTATGGCACTTTCAGTGACTCATTTGTCCACGGAAGGAGCACACCCACAGCAGCTGAAGCAGCCTGTCCTCCTCCCCAGGCTGCTCTGGCACAGCAGGGCCAGCCGGCCCCTTCTGCCTGGGGATGAGAGGCTGGCAGCAGCCCAGGGCACTCGGCTCGTGCTGTACCTCGCTTCATCTGGGGGAAGGAACGCTCTGTCAGAGACCTTGCACTGCTCCTTCTGCCCTGCCTGACATCCCAGCCTGCAGCCCCAGCCTGCGCCTCGCTGGTCCAGGGCCGGTGCCCCCTGTGCTGCCCAGAGCAGCCTGGCACAGGGCACCAGCCAGCTGTGGGACCGGCAGGATGGCACCATCCGCTTCGTGTCCCTTCCACTCCGTCTGAGCTCGGCTCTCCCACAGCCCTGGCAGCTCTCGCACTGTGCTGCCAGTGTCTGTCACAGCCCATCCATGTCAGCCCACTGGCCTCTGGCTGCCCCCCTGCCTCATCCCTGCCTGCTGAGCTGCCTCTGCTCCTGGTGCTGCTGCCTGGGCTCCCCTCACTGCCCGAGCCCGCCTGGCAGGACAGCCCCAGGAGCTGGGCTTTCCATCTCCTGTAGCCCCACCATCCCGCTGCCAGCTGCTCCCAGGAGGAGTGAGGGGCACTGGGGTGGCTGGCTGAGACCCAGGCTGGCCTCATCCTCCTCTGCTGATGGCTGCAAGCAGGGCAGCTCCTCCTGCCTCTCCCTGGAGGCTGCTCAGAGTCTGGGTGCCTCTCTTCCTCTCTCTCTTTTAACTGCCTCAACCCAGAGACGTGCCATGATCACCAGAGCAGGTCCTGATCCTCCTGCACCAGCAGAGCTGGCCAAGGCAGTGAGCAGTGGAGGGAGACGCCGTGGATCTGCAGCACTGCTGAGCAAGGACTTGCTGTTCCCCAAGCAGCT